ATCTAAACTACTACTACTACTGTTAAGATCTTTCCATGTGGTCATTAGACTTCTTTTAATCTGCTTTTTGTCTGATTTTCTTTTCTTGAGAGAGGGACAGTCTGTCCTTATGTGTTCTGGTTTGTTGCATTCATAGCATGTGACATTTTTACTCTCAAGGGATTCACGCATCTTAGATCTCTCCTTCTTCATGTGGAAGACCTTCATCCTTCCTTTCTTCTTCAACATGTTCTTGAACCTCTTAGACATGAGAGAGATCTCATCGTCTATTGAGTCTTCAGTGCATTCTTTTGATCTTGATTCAAACTCAACTTTTAACTTTTATCCTTTTTATCTACTCTTGCTAGATTCACCTCCCTTCAAAGAAATGGTGTCATATGCTCTAGATTGTTCTCTATTGTTTACGTGAACCTCATGAACTCTAAGAGCTCCAAAAAGTTCGTCAAGAGTGAGAGCCTAAAGATCTTGAGCTTCAGCAATGGTTGTGGCCTTTGGCTCCCAAATCTTGGGTAAGCTGTCCAAAATCTTTAGATTGTTCTAAGTTTTAGTGAACTCAGTTTAGCCTATTTATAATTGTTTGGAATCTTCCAAACATTTCGTCAATGGTTTCATTCTCCTTCATTGAGAACAACTCATACTGCATCTAAAGAGTGGCAACTCGTCTGAGTCTAACATCCTAAATGCCTTCATGATTTACCCTAATGGCATTCCAGATCTCTTTTACAATAGAACAACTGCAGAACTTGTTGTACTCAGTTCTAGATAGAGAGCAAGCAAGTATGTATCTTGCTTTTGCATTTTGTTGCAAGGTATGGTAGTCTTCTTGAGTGTATTGGCTCTTAAACTTAGTGACCTCTACATCTCCTTGCATGATGATCCTCCATAGTGGGTATTGGGTGAACTTGATGAACATTTTCATCTTATCCTTCAATAAGGATAGTCTTCTCCATTGAAGGCTGGAGGCCTTGTGAGAGAAACTCCTTCTGTCAAGTACTATCCTTCACTGCTTCCCATTCTGAATCTTTTTCCTTTAGCACTTTTAGATGCTCAATCCCGACAAAGGCTAAGCTCTAATACCAATTGTTGGAGAAAAAGATACACACTAGAAGGGGTGTTGAATAGTGTATATCAAAAACTCGCTCTTTTTGCAGTGAAGTAGTAAAAGTTATAACAGACAAAGCACTGGAAATCAACAAATGAAGTAACACAAGTATTTTATATTGGTTCATCTCAAACACAAAGACTATGCCTAGTTCTCAATCCAACCAATTAAGTTTCACTATCTTGTACAAGATACAAGTATTCTTTCACAAGCCACTTCTAGCTCAATCACCAAGTATTCTTTCAACAAGTCTCTCCAAGCTCAAACCCAAGTATTCTTTCAACAAGTCTCTCCAGGCTCAAACCTAAGTATTCTTTTAACAAGGCTCTTCAGGCTTAATCCCAAGTATTCTTTCCACAAGTCAAGTCTCTCCAAGCTTAATCACAAGTATTTTTTTCACAAGCCTCTCTAGGCTCGATCACAAGTATTATTTCCACAAGTCTTTCCAGGCTTAATCCGGACAAATAAAATTGATAAGAGTTAGAAGAATAACTTCATCTCTTCTAGACATTATACTATGAAAATACAACATAAATAGACTACAAAGAACAATTTACGAGAATTTCAATGAAGATTTTCTTTGTAGTGCTTCCGTTTTGTATATCTCACTGTGTGAGTTTGCTCTGTAAGTATATATTTCTCTTTATTTACAACACTTTTCTTTTCTTTTGCTTCACACCTTTCACTCTTCTTTTTAATGCTTCATCGTGCATCCACACCCTATGTTGTTTAAGGGCTTGACTCTTATATAGTAGGTTTAGAGAAGATGACCATTACAACAACGTTAGATTTTAACGTCCAAATTTCTTCATAAATTGCTTTGTCTGTCTTCCTTGCTGATCCTAGAGATTACCGTTAAAGCATTTAATGCTTGCATTAAATGCTTATCAGGATGCATGTACCTCTTATCTGATCCAGGCAGCTACATATCATCATTTTCTTCTATTTTGAGTGTGGCAGTATAGTATCAACATAGAGCAGTCTTTGTAGAGTCTTTTGCATGTAATTTGAAATTTTCTCTTTCTTTCCTGACACAATGATTTGACATTTCCTTTATGCGAATTTTTGTTTTCTTTGAGGAGATTTTCTCATTCAATCTGTTAAGGAATATATTATTAATGCTTCTCCATGAATGATTTGACTTTTTTAATGAAAATAAATGTATTATTAATACAGATCATGCACTTCATCTGGTACACTTCGTCTTACAAGCAAAATACGAGATCTGCTTCATTTGAAATAGTTTCTTTAAAAAAATTATTTGTTATCATAAAAACTCATAACCTCTCGAGAGATTCAAGATTGTCTTTTAATTTAACAAATCCCTTTTTTGATAAACTCCTTTTGATTTTACCATATGCAAGAGGCTTTTCTTGGATTCATGCATATTAAAGCGTCTCAACACTTTGTCTATATATGTACTCTAACTAAGGCCAAAATATTTATTCATCTATCTCTATATATACCTATAGCTAATATATAAGTTGCCTTATCCAATTTCTTCACTGAGAAGGAATTCCCAAACCATGACTTAACGATTTATAGGGTATGAATGCCATTTTTAATAAGTAGCATGTGATCTACATAGTACACCAAAAAGACAGTAGTGCTCCCACTAGCCTTCTCCTAGGCACAAGATTCATCTTCATTTTTAATGAATCCAAATTGACTTACAACTACATTAAAAAAAATTCCAACTTCTAAAAGCTTACTTTAACATAAATACATCTTTGCAACTTGCATACCTTTTTAGCATCTCTTAGGGTCACATAACCCACAGGTTGTATCATGTGCACATTCTCAAGAATTTCTCCATTGAGGAAAGCAATCTTGAAACCCATTCGTTAGACCTCATAACCCCAATATGTTGCAATAGCAAGCAAGATCCAAACTATTTTAAGCATCACAACTAGGGAAAAAATTTCATCGTAGTCTACACCATGGTTATCGAATTGAAATTCAAATTGTGAATTAGAAAACCTATTTTACGAATTATGAATCATATCGTATTACAAATCATAAGATACAAGATTATAAAAACATAAGATTTTAACGAAAAAAAATACACACTAATATATCATCTATAAAGCTGAATCACAAAAAGTAATTCAAGATTAAGTCATAAATAAAAATAAAATAAAATAAAGTAGTGGTTGCTCTAGGTTAAAATCTTCAAGTTCAACCCCTTATATATATATAT